ATATATTTTTTTTTATAAAAATTGTTGCTTCGTCTAAAATGGTTAATTCCGTTATAATTTTCCAAATTAACCTACCGTTTTAGAGAAAAATAAAAAATATGTAAATATGTTTAAATTTTTCCAACCATAAATCCGATATGATGTCCAAAAAATTAAAACGCCTTTCTAGGGTAATATAATTTCATTTTTATTTTCTGTTCTCCTTTAACATTTGAAATCAACAAACAATATGACGTTAATCAAAATTAATAGTAACCCAAAGAATATACCTAGCTAGAAAAAGAATGGACTCTGCCATACCAAAGCCATACTGAAAAATGGTCCTACAGAAGTGGCGCCATCTATTGAGTAGGGCTTGTTTTAAATGGATCGAAGCGCGGGCTTTTTAAATGAGCGTATTTATTGAATTTTGCTCTAAAATAATTAAATTTGATTATTAAATCTTATTTTTTACACAAATTCGACAATACTAATAACAAGTATCGTTGTGATGTGTAAAAAATAAGATTTAACAGTATAATTTACATAATTATTAAATAAAATTAAAGCCAAACATGTGAAATATTATTTATTAAGTTTTTATGTATAAATCAAATATTTAAACATCGTTTATTATAATAAAACAAGACCAACGTAATACGCCCAAAGTTTTGTAAATGGAGTAAATATAAATAGGTACTTAAATGATGGCAAAAATAAAAGACTTACATTATATTTTTAGGGCCACAAACAAAAGGAATTGTCTAATTAAAACACATATAACAAATTATAGTTTGAAAAACGTTTTGATAATCATTTATTTGATACTATTATGATTGGCGCTATGACAACGACAATATTTTTTGAGAATTTGACAATAATATGACAATGGCCGTTGGAAACTATGGAAACTACAAAAAAATTCTGATTTAACGCCATCTGGCAAAAACTAGTAGCAACTTCTTAACCTAAAAATTAATTGTACTACCACCTAGTGGCTAGTGCTGGAACTATTTTATTTGAGATTTCCGTGGAAACGGTGGAACCGCTTTTGCTATATCACTTTCCCGCCCCTGTAGTAACCTAACTATCTATCAAAGAATGAAAACGAAAATATATTACTATTTCTATATATTATAGTGATATGGCGAGTCTAAAATAACTGCAAATATTTTCACGGTGGTATATTTCGACCCCAGGAACATATCTATGAGGTTTTTTTCCGCAAAAAAAGATGTTGAAAATCGTGCATTTGCTTTTAAATGTCCCTATATCTTTTTCGAGAAGTTTTTGGAACTGCCTGTTCAGCGCAAATTTCCCCCACGGTATAATTTCTTAATCTCTGATATTGCCATAGTTACGGCTTTACTCTATGGTCACGGCCACTACAAGGGATGCAAATACAGAAAAAATATGGTGGCTCTCAAAATTTAAAAAAAATTTTTTTTTTAATTTTCACACTTAAGTAACTCGGTTATTTTGGACTTTTGGACTATTTTATTATTTACTTGGACTGAAAAATGGTAAAGAGAAAATATATTTCGTTTATCGAGATCTACCAGCCCTGAAAATATTTGTACTTATTTAAGACTCGCCCTGTATATGATGGGTTTTGATTTTTAGGACTTAGAAAATTTAACCATGTATTTATTAAAAAAACGGGATGAGTCATTTTAGAACAAGCCAACGTTTTTATAATACAGTATGATCGAAAAAAAGCGCAAGCTGCGCTAGAAGTATAATTCTGGGCTTACAATCGACTGGCTCAAAAAGGATCCAAACCGCTAAGAGTGTCCTAAGATTAAGGTAATCCAATCTATGGAACCAGTAGACCAACTACGGGTCACTCGAGGATTGCCAATGATCATGGCGAAATGAAAATCATGGTGAACATGAGTCCACATCTGCTAGACCAGAAAACGGACTATATGCTCACCAAACATTATTTTGGAGAAAAGATCAGGATTTGCATCTCTACAAGAGAAGAATGGGAAAGCAACCGAATAATGAACAATAAACACCCAAGAGATTGCAGTCCAGGGGTGGATGGGCCATATGGGAAAACGGGAAAATTCCCGGTGGTCCGGTGGAAAAATGGGCCGGTGGGCCGGCCGGTCCCGATCAGAGCTCAAAAAAAGATTGGATTAGCAAAAATTAAATGGTTAATCTAAAGTGACGTAAGATCCTTAGTGACTCCATAACTAACTAATCAATTTTCATCAGTATAATCGTCAGTTGCTTTTAAAAATAAACACCAATTTGTAAAATAACCTATTGTAAAATGTCTTTCTCTGGGACATTTAATTTTAATAATCATCTGTTGTTTGTTCGGTTTGAAAATTTTTATAAGGTGAGTCTATAAGTGCAAATATTTTCATGGCTGGTAGATCTCAATAAAATAAACATAATATATTTTCTTTATCGAGTGTCAAGTAAGTCCAATCGAGTTATTAAAGTTTGGAAATTTAAAAAAAAATATTTTTTTTTTAAATTGAGCCACCTCAATTTTTCGGTATTTGCATCTCTTTTAATGCCGTAATATCAGAGATTAAGAAACTATACCGTGAGAAAATTTGCGGTGAACAGAAAGTTCTAAAAAGTTCTAATTGTCTACAAATTGTAAATTTTTTTGACAATAAAGGTATTTATTTATTTATTTAGTTTTCTAAAATATGCAGGAAAATTTAAAAGAAAATGCCCGATTTTTAACATCTTTTTTTGCAAAAATAACTCATAGACATGTTCCTGGGGTCGAAATATACCACCCCTGAAAATATTTGCACTTATTTAACACTCACCCTGTATAGTTTTACCCAATATTCTTTTATTCATAACTAATAAATATGACTGACTGGCAACAAAAAAAAAGAATGAATAGCATTAGGTAAATTTAAATAGTCTCGATCTAAATGTATACTAAGAATACGGTAGCGTAGATTGACAATTGGGGGCCTCGGTGTAATATTTTTCGAGCTCCCCTTTGTAAGAAGGTAGACGAATTTGACACAAACACTGCGGTTGACGGAGAAAACATGTCTATGCTTCGCTTGAATTGGGGACGGACTTTAGCCAAGTCTGAGAACTAAAAACCAAGTCTAAATTGTTTTTTAAAATGTTGCTAAACTGAATTTGCTAAAAATTACTGAGACCAGAGACTAACTAGATTAGAAAATAAAATATTAATATGTCTCAAAGATCCAAATATTCTTATTATGCACTGTAACATAAAATTACATCAGAATACATCTACATCCACTGCCTAGGTTTTTTTCGTTTGAGTCATGGCCATGGCTGGGAAACTTAAATTGAAATGACAGTTCATTAAAAATAGTTCTTCCTCCAAGATGCAGAGGCGCAAAATTTTCAAACTGTCAGTATAAATTTCAAATTTTTGACAAACGTCAATAATTATTCAAATTGACGCGGACGCGGCGTTTTTGTTGCGATTTTGGCGGATGATTTCGTTTTAAATTTTAAATTATAATATTCTTGATTCCCTAGTTTTTATTTTTTTATGAGTATTGGTGTTTTAGCGAGTGTTTTATTAGTTGTGTTTAAGTTAGTTAAGTGTTGCGTTTAATTGTTTAGTTTTGTGATAAAAACTCTTGTTTAATTTTAATAATGGTGTTTAATTGTTGCATTTGTAAAAACTATAAAAAAGACAGCCTGAAACTGCATCGTTTTCCGAAGGATCCAATGGTAAGTAAATTAAATATATGTACCTACATTATTATATAATACTCTTATATTAATACTGGGAATTAAAGATCCAAGTTAGTTATATATATATATAAGTTTTTGAGGTAGGAAGTTTAAGGCATATAAATGTTGCCATTCAGTAAGATATTTTTTTTCTGGTCATTCAGTAAGATATTATTCTGGCCATTCAGTAAGATATTTTTTATGAAAATATGAAAAATAATTGATCACATTTATGGAAACCCAAGACCAAGACATATCCTGTTTTTTAATTATGCACAGTTTTAGTCTGTTTTTGGTTTGAGTTTTTCTATTTTTCTTTCATCTAAAACAAAGTGTGCCTCAATATAAATTATAACGAGGTTTTTTTTTCTTTTAAACTGTCATATGAAACATAGGTACTCTTAAATATTTGCACAATCTACATTATATAAATTGCTAATTTTTATCTTTGTCGTCTCTACTGAAGTAACGACTTGCTCTAGAAAGTTGCTTTTCTACTAAAAGATAGCTAATTAGCTTTTTAAAAACTGTCGTCGCCGGATTTTTGATTTAATTAAAAAAATAAATAATTTTTTTTTCCTGATGTCGTGGCGGATGCGCCAGGCTTCAACTAGTACAGTTATAAACCTCAATCCAAGTACTTAAACAAACACTTTCAAAACTATAATTTATGTAATTTATTAATAACTAGTTGAAGCCTGGCGCATCCGCCACGACATATCAGAAAAAAAAAAACTATTTTTTTATTTTTTTAATTAAATGAAAAATCCGGCGAAAACAGTTTTTAGAAGAGCAAATTAGCTATCTTTTAGTAAAAAAGCAACTTTCTAGAGCAAGTCGTTACTTCAGTAGAGACGACACAGATAAACTTATTAGCATTTATATATGTAGATTATATTAATTTTCATCATATTGTCACCAAAATTTCATTGTGATCATGTAGTTCTTGCTTATGGGGCTTGTGTGCACATCTTTGATAGATATATGATGTTAATTATTAATTAAAATCTTATGAAATCCATTTCCAAAAACCAAATGAAACAAAAAAAAAAAATATATATATATATATATATATATATATATATATATATATATAAAATGCCTACTAGAGATAAATATTTTGTTGCTGAGTAAGTTCTTTGGTCTAAATCCTATTAATCTTGGCATACATTTTAGAGAGTTTTAAAATATATATTTTAACATTAAAGGGCCTAACACAATAATATTGCAACTCTAAATTAAAAGTACCATTCTTATATTTGTAGTTGTTTAACCAGTGGGTTGAAAATATTGGCCGAGATGATTTAACGACAAAAACAATGGATAAAGTTAGAGAATCATATCGGGTTTGTGACATCCATTTCGCCCCAGAGAGTCGCTATACTGGAATCAGGAATAATTCAAATCTTAAGAAAGATGCTATTCCAACTCTTTTTACTACTGGAACGATTCAGAAAGGTAGGTTGTTTTGGTTTGTAAAGATTCGACATTAGGTTTAATTTTTTAGAAAAAAAATTACGATCGACTTTTAAAGATATCGTTTGCGTCTATATGTATTTTATAGGTATATTAGGTACTATCTAAAATTATACAATTATTTAATAAAAATATTTTATCAGTTATCATATATAATATACTAATTTTAAAAGAAATAACCCCTAAGTGTTTGATTTATTGTTATAGCATTTCTTTTTCAAGATTCCAGATTTGTTGAAACCAAATTAGTGACAAGGGAACAAGTCAACAGTACACCAGAAGTACCTAGTGAGGTGATACCATCACACCAAGACCAAGATATTCAGAAGCCATTTACATCTCAAGTGACACCACAAACTACACCAAAAAGAAAACGTAGCTTGGTAAAATTAAGTTCTCCGGCCAAATTATCAGGTGAGAATATACAACAGTAACTTTTAATTATATTTTGGAGTAGTTTAACAAAATCACTTTTACAGTGGATAGGTTTCGCTTATTTTTACATAGATAAATAACACTTATATAGGTTTTGAAACTTTTGGCGATATAGCAGCAAAGTACCCAAAACGCTAGTTCACCACAAAATCGATGACAACATTTTAGTTCACTAACTATATTAGCATCTACAGCAGATTATTGTTTATTAATATTTTTTTTTATTCCAGGTCTGAAAAGACGAACTCGGATTCTTGCCTATACAAAAATTGGCCGAGCTTCCCAATTGACTCCAGAGGGGAGAAAATTATATAAAATTGCAGGTGATTTACGTAAAACCGCAAAAAGATTAAATTTTAGCCGCGAAGATTTAAAAAAAAGCAGATTAAAAAATGAAGGAAATTATAGATTCTCCAGAATTTTTAAAGGCAAAATTAAATAAACATACCTTTGATTTTGTAATGGCTCAGTTGAGATGCCAGCCACTAAAACCGAAGGGTAGACGCTATACCCTAGACGAAAAATTCTTTTTGGCATTCTTAAAACAAAGCCCCAAAGGATATAAATTGATTAGACAGATATTTGCTGCTCCATCCAGAAAAACACTGACAAATTTGCTAGGAAAAATTCCTTTCTACGCCGGGGTTAATGACGCAATAATGACATCAATATCAGCTAGATGTAAACTTATGGATGAAAAAGAAAAGTGCTGTGCCCTTGTCTTTGACGAAATGGCGATCGATCCAATGCTTCAGTACAATAAGAAGAAGGATATTGTGGAAGGCTTCCAGGACAATGGAACGAATACAGGTAGAAGGCCACTAATCGCAGATAAGGTGATGGTTTTTATGGCGAGGGGAATATTTAAAAAATGGAAGCGGCCCCTAGCCTATTATTTCAACGATGGCGGAATGAAATCAGATGTAGTGGTAAACTCAATCAAAGAGGTGGTACTAGCATGCCAGCATGCTGGCCTAAAAGTGTGGGCCCTTATTTGTGACGAAGGGACACCTAATGTGGCTGCTATTAATAAAATGTATAAATACACGGCTGAAGAGTATATAAGAAATGGCGAAGAACAGGCTTTTTGGAGTGAAGATTGGGGACCAGGAAGTGATTCCTCTGTATGATCCACCGCATTTGTTAAAATGCATAAAGAATAATTTCTTTATGTATCAGGTTTCTTTTAAATGGAGAAACAGTAGAACAGAAGTCGCCAATTGGGACCACCTAAGGAAGTTATTCGAAATAGAAAACCAAGAAGACGACGAATATAGGTGCTGCAAAAAACTAACTAGGGATCACATAGAAAACACGAAAAAAATGAAAGTATCAATGGCTGCACAAATATTCAGTAATAATGTGGCTTCAGTTATGAAAAGGATGGCTACGAGAGGCAATGTTGTTGCTGATCTAAATTATTTGCCACAAGGAGCAGTTAGTACAGCCGAGTTTCTTCTTTTTATGGACTACGTATTTGACAGTGTAAATGGGTCATACGTATCCATAAAAAGAAAAAACTTAAAATGTGCAATCACAAAATCAACAGGCCACAAAACTTTCTGGGCTGAGGCCATAAAAGTTTTCTCATCAATGGAATTTTCGAGCGGTTCCAAAACTCACATAGTTCCCCCATCAATAAAAAATTGGATTCATACTTTAAAAGCATTTTCCTACTTATGGTATAAGTGTGAAAAGGAAAATATTGCATTTTTATGCACAAGGAATCTAAATCAAGATCCGCTCGAAAATTTTTTTGGATCCGTAAGGAGTCATGGTGTTCGCAACATCAATCCCAATGCTACCTCGTTTGTAAATTCCTTGAAATCACTTGTGATTAACAATTTCTTAGCCAGTCATTCAAGATCTGCTAATTGCCAGAATGACAATTTAAAAGGTCTAGATGACCTTAAACATATGTTAACGTCCCTCGAACCAGTTATAGAGGTTGACGTCAGTTTTCCTAATGTCATAGTGCCTGAGTACCAACCAGCCCATAATTCTTTATTGAAAAGAGGGAAGCTAACATATGTAGCAGGTTTTGTGGCTAAGAAAGTGTTAAAGCGCATTGGAATTTGCAAACAATGTAGGCAAGACTTAGTTGGAGATGACAGGAGCCGAGCAGAATGCTTTATTGTGGATGCAAGAGCCTATTCTGCAAAAGCGTTACTGGCCCCTTCAACAAATTTTAACGAATTTTTCAAAAATGTATATTTATCATGAGTAATATTTTGCCTCAAATATGCCACAGCCAAAATATTACTACGCTAATTAAAAAATATTAAACGAGTTATGCAAAGAAAAAATATTCTGTTGCAATAAGCATGATGTTAAAAACTTATATGTGATTATATTTCAGTTTTTCATTTGAACGTATGGATTAAAAATGTAAATGCCATATTAAAAGGAAAGCAAGTAATAAACAAATCATCCATAGATAGAATAAAATATATGCATCTAAGAAATTCGAAAAACATAGGAATTATTGTAGTAGGGTACGTAGGATGAAAAATATTCAGCATTAATAAAAGTCACACTTTTGCCTGATTTAGGTATTTTTAAAGTAAAGAAATTAAAGTATTTTAAGTTAACGTCTCCTTTTTTATTGCCAGGGTTAATAACAACAGCACAATTTTCTCAGATGTTAGATCCTGTTTTAAATTAATAGGAGAACTAAACTATCGTCAATTTACAATAGAAAAAGTAAAAAATCGGTCTTGCACTTAGATTGTGGGTTAAAGGGGTTTAAAAGAAAAAATCGTTGTTGTGGTTGGCTCATCCAACCCAATTTATAATAATCAGATAACAAGTATACACACGTCCAGATTTTTTCATCCAACCCGACTAAATCTGATTATTATGAATTAAAAAGCGACGTTTTTCCTGTTACATTTTTTAAGTAGCTTACCATTACTTGCTATTTGCACTATTTTATACTTAACTCATTATTTTGTATTAGGTTTAAATAAATTATAAGACATCTAGGCATATATGCGACACCTGTGTGTGTCTCATATTTTTAGATTATAAAATTAGATAATATATTTTAATTGTCTTAAATCTAAGTAGCTTAACTAATCTTAATTAATCAAACAATAAATAAAATACAAAAGAGGAAAATAAATTATCGGAAATTATGTAATTTAAATATGATATGCCTATTGATTATATTTCTCTTCAAAAATATGTTGATAAACGGTATTTAAATCTTCATAAATATATTTTTTCCAATGTTACCTGATTTGAATTTTTAATATTATCATTAAAGTTTTCAGACATAAATAAATTAAGAAATTCCTACTTATTAATAGTAGTATAGTCATCTTATATTTGTTAAAATAATTTTCGACATGTAAGAACAGTGTGTGCTTTTAATTAGGTTGATTGGCCGTTTATAATACGTTCGAGTAGATTAAAAACATACATTGTGTTCTTACTTCTTACATGTTGAAAATTATTTTAAATCTATTATAACCAGATTAAAACAACCCCCCTTCCCCGCACCCGTCTGTTCCGATAGTATTTCTTCCTCCAACTACCAGAGGCGCCCTTGTATAATAAAATTGAAATGTATAATAAGTTGCCTATCTATTTAATATTATAAGTCTTTTATCTATGGTCATGGCATTATCATACAAGATGCCAAATGTACAAAAGTATAGAGGAAAACAGCGTTGTTACAAGGGCAAAAATTTTTGTACTATAAATGGTGTCGAAATTGTACTTTTTTAAGTGGGATTGTACATTTTTGGTGCAAAAATGTGGGGTCATGTGATCTCTCTATTTACCCCATTTTTACCAAGTTTTGGTACGTAGGGTGCATCCACACTATCCTAAAAACAGCGGAATGGCGTATTGGCTTAACGACCTTGAATCGATTTCCTGCAATTCTATTGGCTGAAATTTTTGCCAGGTGAATTTGACAGATAAGATTTCTGACAGATGAATTTTTCAGCCAACAGAATTGCTGGAAATCGATTCAAGGTCGTTACGCTGGATAAACCGCCGCCGATCCGCTTTTTTAGGATAATGGATGCACCTCACAGAATTATACACCATATGCTGTCCTCCTTTCACGCAGTTGCGCAGCTCCTGAACTGTTCAAGAACGCGATACTCTCCCTCCATTCAATTGAGTCATAAAGTTCAGAACTGGTTCCGCGCCATATGGAGGCACCAGGCTATCTCGCAGCAGCTCCTTTCAGAACCGTTCTGAGCAACCCAGGGCGTAAAGCTCTGGAACTTGAAATTCGCAAATGGAGGACAGCAATACAGAAGCTACAAAGAGCTTTGAATAGCATTGGTTAAATGGGAACTCACAATAGATCTCTAAGGTCGCAGTGATTAGTCCCCCTCCTACTCACCGCATGGACATCAAACTTACGTTTGACATCCGTGCGGCTTGAACCATGCTTGAACAGCATTTCAAGTGATGTATAATTCTGGGCCTCTGCTCCTAGCGACCTGCATTTCAAATCCACGCATCGCGTATCACCGTTCGTCTAAAAATTTGTACGTGGGTTTAAGTTTGGGTTAGTTTGGGTTTGAGAAGTAAGAATTGTACATTTTTTCTTGCAATTGTACCTATGTACTCCTTGACTATCAAATGTACCCAAAATAGTACAATTGTACCTATTGTAACAACACTGGAGGAAAAGTTTCGTGATAAGAACTTATATGTATAATAACCTAAAAATGCTCCAGTTTTAATGGCGACCGCGGTTCATTCAGTTAAAAACACGTGTACACGAGGAGGCTGCTGCTGTATCAGAAAAGAGAGAATTTCTTTCTATACAATGTGTAAGAAAGTATATACCCGAAAAGCTAAAAATAATGTATTTGACAGAGAATCAGCTGAACTGAATGAATCAGGAAGTTTCTCAAAATCGTAGCCTATTCAAGATCAAATTACCGTTATCGATAATAGAAATAAAGCAATAGAACCCTGTAAAACTGAGCCATTTTGTAGTAAAAATTCAGATGTCAGACCCAAACCAAACCAAATCAAGACAATTTAATTTTTTTTAAACCGGAGGCACAAGAGCTTTTCGCACGAGCGAAAAACACCCTACTTATATACAGGTTGTCCTAGAAATAAGTGCAAGTATTTTAAGGGTGGTAGATCTCGATAAAAGAAAGATATTTGCTCTTTTATCGTTTTTCAAACAAAATCAGTCTTTTCAAAGTACAAAACAACGCAGTTATTTTACTTTGAAAAATTAAAAAAATTTTTTTGCTCAAATTTTGAGAACCACTGGATCTTTTCTGGATTTTATTTCTTGTAAATTTAATCTACTACCTATGTTGCCATATTATCAAGAAATAATGTTTTTAACTAAAACTAAAAAATTCAAAACATTCAAATTCCGAATATTCAAAAGTTTTTTTATGCGAAAAAAAGCCTCATAGGCGTGTTTCTGGGGTTCAACTATACTACCAGTTA